TCACATGCATATGGTATATTTGTCGTATAAATATATTGAAATCATATTAGAAAAGACACTTAAATTGGCAACTTTTATTTCGACTACTTAGTTTCTATTTTGCACCTATTAATCGGTAGAATGTTTAGTTTCCATACCTATCACCTGTATGCCTCCGTATCATAATATATCAAAGTATATTTTGAAAATGCGCTTAAATTTATAATTTTTAGTTTCACTACTCTTAATGCCGGTTCTGCATTTTTTAATCGCTATCAATTAAGGCTAATGAGCAATGATTACCATATACTAGTACGAAATAAACCAGTAGTACACACAAATTGGAATACACATGTTTAGAGCATACAAAATATTTCTAATTAAGCTTATGAATATCCATCATCCCCATCTCACAACGGAAACGGGGACATAAATATACTCAAATTAAAATACGTATTGTAAATAGAATGGGAGCGGGGGAACGTACTGACCTTAGCTTATTGGAAGAGTTTACAAGGAATATGACTAAGCAGGCTGGAAGCTCCCCCTCACATCGGTGGTTCTTCAAGTTATCTAGCTACTAGTTTCTTCTTTTAAGTAGTTATATTTTTGCTAAGTCGTTTTCGCAAGGCGTTTCTCTGATATTTGATTGTATGACCACATATAAATATACATACAAGACTCGACTAACAAGGTCTGGCCGTATTAGGAGGCTGAGGTCAAATTTGTGTGATTAGCTCTCAAATGGATCACTAACACGTATGGCATTTGCATGATGGGTAAATTGAGCTTTCCAAGTGGAATGTGCCATCAGCCAGCATGCATGTTAAGACAATTTAGTCACACTGATCATACTATTGCATGGGCTTCCAAGTGGAATGTGTCATGCACTCTAAGACATGTCTTTAAATTTGTACAATTCATCCTACGTAGCTTTAAATTTGTAGCCAAGGCAAATATGTGAATGCAAGCATTATTACTGGATCATTTATTATTGTAACGTACTATTCCCATAACTAAATTCATATGAGTTTACAAAGACCAACTAAATATTTATCAACATTTTGTTTCGAATGTCATTCCAGTTTATTTTAAAACGTTGATTTTATATGTATATTCTCATTTGTCGAATTTCTTCATCTAATACTATTTATTTACTAATATTTATTGTCTATTTACTGATAATTTAACTTCTAAAATTAGTTAACGAGAATGGATATTATTTCAAATTTACGTTACCGGCTAGACCGGATTTTCGGGGTGTTACATACTCTGCGAATGTATGTCATTCTGGAGTTTTTCTGTTGATTGTATGCGAGTGAGTCATGGACATTCTGATAAGGAAGTCAATTTATAGGTACATTCCCATTTTTAGATTTTCAAAGATTGTTTACAAAAAACAAATAGACTAAAGAGGTGCATAGAAGGTTGTATCAATATTTGTATAAACACCAAACTATATTATCTAATACTTTGTAAAAGTTGTAAATTGTCTCAGTTAAATTTCCAGGGATTTCATAGGCCTTTAAGATTCTTTTAAAGGCCCAAAATGAATAAGTTTCTCTGTTTCGTTAGTAGTCTAATATAACATTAAAACTATTCAATATATTTCAGAAATTGATTTTTAAACTAAAGAAATACTTATTATTTAAGGAATACATGAATTAAAATTGAATTTTGATTTAAAAATATCCTATTATATACGTCTCCAATTCTAAATATGTATACATATTAAGTAATATAATTGGGACTTATAATTTCACTAAACAAAACATAGTTCTTGAGGGTAGCTTTCAACACTATGAAGTAAGAGAAATGTGTCATCTAAGAGTTTGCACATCTCCAAAGTGGAATTAATTAGTACATAGACGACAATTTGTATTGATTTTGGAGTTCACACAATCCAACACTATGAAGTAAGAGAAATGTGTCATCTAATAGTTTGCATTATCTCCAAAGTGGAATTACTACATAGACAATCTGGGTTCATTTTGGAGCTCACACAAGTTACTTTAAATCAATATGGCATCTCGCTATTGTATCGTCATTCTCCAAGTGGTGGAATAACTCTAGGAAATAGAGCGTGTTTCTCTCTTTACTTGCTTAACATAACAGTGTGTTGAAGAAGACCCCATGAAAATAATCTTCCAAGTTCTAACACTAAAAAGTAGGAGATGTGTGTCACCTAATAGTTTGCTCTAACTCCATATAGTGGAATTATTACTACATGGACAATCTGGGTTAATTTTGGAGTTCCTATCGGTTACTCCAAAACAATATGGGAGTCCCTATTGTATTTCTATTCTCCAAGAGGTGGAGTAACTTTCGGAAATAGAGTGGAAAAAGACATACCTGACTTTACAAACTAAAGATTGTTGCACAAACACATCTAAATTGTCAAAATAGTTTCGTCATTGTGAATCACATGACTTTACTTCACTTCTATTGCTAGCAATAATTTGACACTTCTGCATTTTCTGTCGTAGTTTCTAACATTTGACGAATGACTCTCCTTTCTAACGTACGCAGTTTTCGTATTTAGTTTCAGTTTTTACTTTTTACTAGACCAATTCTGACCTGACCTGACCTGACCAGACTTAAACAAATCATAGATCAGACCAGCAAATTTCATGCCAAGTAAAAACATCCTTAAAATGACATATGAACTTTCATAATAATTTGATTGCTCATTGATTTCAATTAACCGATCATCAATATATCAACAACTTCATAATAAACGCCATTTTTCAATATTAAACGTTGAAAACTATGGATGAGAGATAAATTACTCTATAATAAAGAAGGTATTATCAAGTTCACCTGACTGTTCGAAAAGGATTAAAACCGTTCAAGTATGGAACTGGAACTAATCTTTAGTTGTTATGCATCTTTGCTTCGTTATTGAAGGATTTTAAAAAGTAAAATATTAATTTTCACACATGTTTTTCATAAAGTTTTAATTACGTATAGTTTCATTATTTACTGGGTTAGACTTATGCCTTGGATTATTTTACGATAGGGCCATCATTATTTTTATCAAACACTATTGCCATAATTAAGCAAAAGGTGAAGGTTGGGTTCGGGTTGAATATGTGTGATCATCAGAGATGCCATGTATCATGTATGATAGCTATTATCAATACGTTGCTATAAAGTCAAGAGAAAATAATATTTTTAAAATTCATCTCGTGCAAAGCCCGCACAGGTGAAAAATCTAGTTTTGAAAAAGCTAGTGCATCCTTTAGTGCTAATGTTGGGGCGGATGCTAGATGGCAATTGTGTTCTTTCATGGGTATAAATCCAGCAAAGTCAAATGCAAAATGTTTGGGTTTACCAACGCTAGTTGGTAAGAAAAAGAAGGGGATTTTGTGTTATTTGAAAACGAATTTTAAAAAGGCTGCATAATTATTGGAATAACATATTTCTGTCTAAGGCGGGAAGATAAATCTTATTAAAGACCGTTATTCAAGCTATGACTACCTATGCCATGAATGTGTTTTTGCTTTCCGATGATCTTATCATGGAAATAGAAAGACTTATGAAAAGTTTTTGGTGGAGAGGTAATGAGAAAAGCGGGGATTAGAAGCTGATGGTTGAACCTAACTCAATAGTCGGACGAGTTCTTAATACTAAATATTTTCCACAAATTGGTTTTGAGGATGCAAGGTTGGGGAATTATCCCTTTTGATTGGAGAAGCATACATGCGGTTCAAGAGGTGGTAGTGTCGGGGTGTAGATGTAGGGTGGGAAATGGAAAGTCTATCTCTGTTTGGAAGGATCGGTGGCTAGTGGGGAAGGGGTCGGGCAGAGTCAATTCTGTAAGACCACAAGGTGTGTTAGATATGAATGTGGCAACTTTGCTAAATGAGGATGGGAAGAGCTCGAACACACAGCTTATTAATAAAATTTCAAAGAGGAAGAAGTGTTGTTAATTTAGAGCATCCCCTTGAGTTCTCCGGAGCTAAATCGAGTCAAGATCAATGCGGATGTTGCGAGCGTTCCTAGAGATGATGTTTGGACTTGGGGATGGGTCTGTCGGGACAGCAACAGAGAGTTCATGAATGCTAGCAGTTGGAGGATTAAAGTGAAGTGGAGTCCGGAGGAGGTCGAAGCTTGGGGAGTCCGAGACTATCCATTGGGCGAAGGAAAGCGTGTGGAGGAACATGGAGATTGAGACGGACCCGGCGTTGGTGTTAGTGGGGGATCCAAGGAGAGTCATGCACTTCATAAATTGGGGTTATTTATGAAAGAAGAACCGGGGATACAAATCAAGTGGTATGGTAAAGTAGCAAACCAAGTGGCTCACACTATTGCTAGAACCGCTATTTCTATGCGTGAGAGTAGTTGTTTTTACGATGTTCCACCATCGTGGGTTGTAACTTGTAAGTCGTTTATCTCACGATTATTTAATATTATAAAGTTGAGTTTTTTCTTTTAAAAAAGGTTATATTTTCGTATAATTGTTTCTTTATTTTAACAATGGAATATATTTTAAATGTAACTTTGTACAATTCAGCACATTCAACTCATTCAGCTGCTTCAATTAGAATTTCAGTAAAACATTTTTGGCCGATAAATATATTTGCTCCCTAAATTACAAATTAAATGCGATATTAGCCAGCTTTCTATTTCAAAATGCCGTAGTAATTGTCTTGTATACTCTTGTCATTCGGGAAAAATAGTGTACCAATTCTTTTTAAAAATGATACTCAGTAAAATTTTAGACACCAATGTGCAGATGAATGACCGACGTAAATCCGTAGACCGTAGAGTTGTTCACACCATTTATACGGGAAAAATAGTGTACCATTTATTTAAAAAAAAAAAATACAAAAATGACAATTAACATAAATCTTGCCTTTATCGCTGCGCTATATTTTTGGAAATAGAGTAAGATGTTAGTGCAAAGCAATTAAGGAACAATAACATTTTTATTATATATTGAATGGTCGATCTCTAAGCATATAAAGAGTGCTCAGCCAAGAGCCCAGGAACACTATAAAAAAAGACTATCGATAGTTCTCATGAAGATCTTTGTTATCCTTATTCAGTCTAGCCAAACGTAATGAAGCAAATGGTCTTAAACGGGTCCAAACCAACCGTGGGCCCACAATCATGTTTAACTCATTTACACAAATCGTTACAAATGCTGACTTGCACGTCAGCCCAAGAAATACAGCATCTCTATGGATATGCTGTGATAATATTTGTTAGCAAATGCACAAAGCTTACATACTACACAATTACACATGCTGAGATTGACCCTAGTAAAATACATTACATTATTAATCATACAAACCCCCATGGAATAGCCAGCATTTACCACAAACACCCTGTCTTAGATACGCTTTGCCGGATGTTGAAGATGTTAAGCTCAAAGCCTCAAACTGATTGCAACTGCTGGATCTAGCACCAATGACAACAGCAATTGTTGATGATGTTAAAGAAACACGCAGCACAAGAATATATATATATAGCATGAAGATTCAAAGTAGTTCGGTTCCTTCAAGCTACATGAAACATGTGGATATGAATCCAGGACCATTACTTGTGTGAGATAAGACTAAACAAGTTATACTGTTAACAGTTGATGAAAATATTGTTAGTTTCCATTTTTTAATCCATTAAATTTCAATGAAAGTTCTATAAAAAAATTCACAAGTGTAATGATATGTTATTGTTAAACCAGAAAGAAATTATGAATTTTCAGTTTACCCAGAAGTATAACTCTATGTGCCACGAAAAGTGTGGTAAATTTATTCTCTATTTAAAAAAAGTAGTTACTTTTTATTCTACGAACAGCAATATAGTATGGTTACAATATTCATCCCCTACTTACTAAATTTCTGCATCTGGTGCTGTTTCTCTCAATCTCACTTATCATTAGATGCTTAGTAAAATTGTCTATTACCAAAGAAGATATAAGGATGCTTAGAAAAATTAGACAGGGACTTCCAGACACTATCTAAACAAAACTAGATTATATCTAGAAAGCACAACAAAGAGATCGCTTGTTGATAATATATGAGTACAGAGAGAGTACCACAGGAAAAATAAAAGCCAGACCAGCTATGTTACTTGAGAAACTACATCAGACCTTTGGCGAATGTTCTGCATCAGATCCACCTTCTGATGAGCTTTCACTTTGAGAACCTGTTGCAAAATGAGATGATATAATTAAGAAGTACAGCATCAGTCCATAAAAAAGAAAATGCTGAAAAAATAACAATAACAACAACAACATTAGAAATAGTAGTAGTTGTATTAATTATAAAGACAAAAATAATAAAAATAATTGTAGTAGTAATAGTAATCATAGTACGGAGTAATAGTTATAGTAATAATAGTCATAATTACAGTAGTAATAACAATACAATATGATCATTATATAAATACCACTGGATGAAGATGCTGAATCAATGCTAGAGCTGCTTGATTTAATTGCATTGTTCTCTACATTTTCCCCTTCAGCAGGAGCAGAAGAAATGACATTTCTTTCTGCTAATATACACAGACCAAATCAGCAAGCATCACAAGAAGGAAAAAAGTTGTAGTCGAGACAAAGTAAGGTTCACAATCTGTAAACTTGTAACAAATGAAGGTTTCATTTTACACAAGTACTACAGTAGTTCTTCCAAACTAATTAAACGGTTACCTGATTTTCCTTCACTTTGAGTTTTGTTTACAGCATCCATTGCAGTTTCTAGTGCCACTGAAGCTTCTATCTGCTGAAATAGCAAAACCGAGGTTATGCAACTAGCAAGTTTATTTAATGATATATAATGAGTTATTACCAGATTTAGTCCCTTGATCATATACTCTTACTCAATTAGGTCCTCAACTTTTTATTAGACTTAATTCGGGTTTTGATCATGAAATTTGGACCAATTTTACGCGTAATACATATGAAATAAGAAGGATTCCTTGTCCTCTCACCTAATTAACAAATTCCAGACTCAGAATGGCCCTAAACCATGTGATTTGGGCCCAATTTGGTAAAAAAATCTTCTTAATTAGAGTATTATATGCATGAAGACTAAATTAAGTCTGGATTGTATAGTCAAACAACAAACTGAGTAAGAGTATAAAGTGAGGAACAAATCTTTTGTTAGTTCCATAAATAAAAAGTACAATTTTATTAAAAAAAATTATGTGCATAGTTTACCTTCTCTTTGACAGGCTGTTCATCTTCTTGAACTGGTTGAGATGCAGGATCAGGCATTTCAGCTTTTCTTTTATTCTTGCTCAAGCTCTTTTTGTAGTTGGTTACAAACCTATCGAGCTCCCAAAGAGTTTCTATATCAACACTGTCAATATCTACTTCAATCTCATCATCTTGTTGGCAGAGAGAGGAGTTCCTCTTTCTTATAATTTGCACTACACTTTCAAGCTTTTCAGAAGGCAAGCTTTGGAGGTTCATGCTAAGTTTTTGTTTCTCATCATACGTCATATCCCTTTTATCGGGATCCTTTGCCTTTGGCTTCTTAGGGGCAGCGATTCTCCCAGGCTGTGTGGATTTCAGCTTTGGTTTCGAGTCAGTCAGGGGCTCAGGCCTGCCAGCTAATTTTCTCATTTCAGAGTTTGGTAACTTAGGGGTCTTCCTAGTGGATGTAGGAGTCGGTAGGCCCACTTCCGCCTCAATAGGAGCCCATTTGTTGTCAAATATCTGCAAGAGCTGCTCAGCCATTACATGAACATCTTGCCCCTTTGGATTGTACGTCATAGCGTTCCTGAATGTAAGTCTAACGTCCTCTGCAAATTCTCTAGGAGATTTGTACCAATTACTGTCCAGCCTGGATTTCACTGTGCCAAGGTCCATTGGTTGCTTGATGATGTCATAATAGTCATGTAAACCAAGACCAACAGTATCAACCGGCTGGTTAAACACCCAACCATGCTTGTGCTTCATTAACCTTTCCAGTAAGGCACAGCAATTCTTGTACACTTGATTAGATGGCTTTCCAGACCCAAAACCATGCCCTGCTTTCGTGTTTGTTTTTGCCTTCTTGTTGCTTTCAGAAGGTGGGATCTTATCTTTTGCAAGCAAAAAATCTGAGTTTCTATATAATTGGTTTGCCTTGGGCGTCCTCTTATCTTTATCTATGTTATCATTTACACCATCACTGTTCTCCAACACTGACACACTCAATTGGTGCAAAGGTCCTATGGGGCCATTCTTGTGTGTATCTTTTGACTCTATATTCTTCACCAAGCTCCTTATCACGTCCAGCTCACTCTGCAACTTCCTCCTTAGCTCTCGCATCTCTCGTTTAGACTTCATTGATGATATGCTGATTGTAACCCTGTTTTCCTGCATAGTCAATCCCAGTTTTGCCCCTTCACTACCTGCAACCACTCCACGACTGCTCAATGGCGCAGCAGATGACCGATTCAGACTTGAAGAACCTTCCCGCGGCACGATAGGAAGGGAATTAACAAGAGGTTGGGACCACTCAGCTTCTTCTGCAGCTTGGGCTTGAGTGTGAAGCTCTTCTGTAGGATTACCACTGTTTTTGGATGTCTTCTTTACCCCTTTGATGGATTTCCTTGTGTACACTTTGTCTCCCAATCCAAGCTTCTCTTTGAACCCTTCTTGTCCTCCACTTACACCACCACCCGACATCGCTTATAACACATTCAACTCCAAACCTCTAATTAATTCATTCACAGATCGAATATTAACATGTATGCAATCGAATAAGAAACGTATATCTTCAGAATCAACGAAAACGAGTAAATTATCTCCAAATATACGCTAACTAGGGTTTACGGTAAATAAAAACTATCAATATACCTTTCTCCGTAGAACGCCTGCAATCAATACACTCCAGCTTCACAGTTAGATCCCGAGATCTGCAATTACCAATCATGTTTTTTGATCTGGTTTTAGGATAGTCCATTGGGCAGAGCATCAAAGGGCAGCGATGAGGAGAGGAGGTAGAAGATTGACGCGAGTGGACAGAGCGTGGCAAGCACGAAGCTATGGACGGCTGGGATTATTTCCCTCTAGAAACGAAGTGGTTATTAACGGTTGAGATTTCGGTGCTGTTGCAAGTTGATATTTCGAGTTAAGTTCATTATATGTTGGCCCACGCGAGAAGGGTGGCGCGTTTCGTACAGCTTCAGTTTGTGGATTTATTGTCCTCTCCTACTGAGTGCAATTTTGTTCACCCCTCTTAAAAGGGTGAACATCACCACATAGCTCAAATGTTGTTATTTGACATTTCATTTCTTTTTTTGACACATGGCAAGCAAATAGGGAGGGGAGTTATATTCACCCTCCAAGAGGGGTCAACAAAATTGCACTCCCTCTTACTACTTCCTCCCTAATTGGAAGTCCGTTGAAAGTCATACCGTAGATTTAGATTTGGGCCGATCTATAGTGTTAACTGTATTACTATAATATGTCCCAAGCCCATCTGAAATGCTGAAGTGGTTTAAGACTTCAGTTTACACTTTACACCACTGTTTTATCCGTTTATTAACATTATTTACATTCCATTATCTTTTATACGGAGTATGAAGTATTCTCCTCTCCCACATTGTTTCATTTTATCTTTTTGGTCCGTCTTATTAAAATTGTCTCATACTAAATCTGGTAAAATTTGTGTGACTATAAATTATTCTTATTTTATCAATTAAATATCAACCACATAAACAACTTTTTATTAATTTGTGTTACTACCTCTTGTTCCATTGTTAATGGGGGAGGAAGTATATTACTAGTATTATCAATTATCCATAAATCTAAATATTTCTACGCTTGATACAAAAATGATATACTCATTTCATTATTGAAATTATAGAAATTACTTCAAATAGGACTAAAACAATGTCAAAAACTCAAAATAGGACGTGTGTGTTTTTTATTCCAAAATAGGACCATATTGGTCCTATTGGAAACATACATATTTCTTTATTCCATTCTTACCCCTCCTTTAAATATGAGTAAAACATAATCAAAAGTCATAATGAAATGTTTAATTCATAATAAATTCGAAAAAATTTCAAAATTTTGTAGAAAAATAACAAAAAAAAATTAAGAAAGTTTTTATAAAATAAAAAATCAATTTTTTTTTGAAAATTAATAAAATATAGTAAAACTACATTAAAAAATTTAAAAAAAAAATATGGATGCCTCTCCCACCGTCTGTACTACCTCCCTGCACCACTAGCTCTGATCGGTGTAAAAAATGCCATCTTTTTTTTTAAATTAAAAAAAAATGGCATATTTCTCTATGAGAATGCTAACATTTTCATTCTGCCAACTTGAATCCTTTTGACTTTTGCCAAAAATATGGCATTCGTAATTTTTTTGACATTTTTTCCCCCGGTGACAGGAGGTGGTGGGGCCGCTTCCCTGCACCACCACCTCCGACCGTTAAAAAAATGTCATATTTCATAAAAACTGCCTTTTTTATAAAAATGCCAAAAATATGGCATATTTCTCTTTGAGAATGCCAACATTTTTATTCTGTCATCTCAAATCATTCTGACTTATGCCAAAAATATGGAATTCATAATAAATTTGGCATTTTTTCCCAAACAACTGGAGGTGGTGGTGCTGGGGCAGCAGAGACGGCGGTGACCAATTTTTTTTTTTTTGAATTTTTTATTTATTTTTAAATTATTTTTCCAATTTTTTTTGAATTTATTATTATGTAAAATATTTTTATTAATTTTTTAGTATATTTTACAAATTTTTATTATTTTTTATTATTTTATTATGAATTAAAACATTCCAATAGGTATAAAGGTATATTTGTCCAAGACACACATAATTAGTCCTATGGAAACATAGTTTATTTTTTGGTCCTATTTGTGCAAAGTGAGTGACTTTTAGTCCTATTTTGATAATTGATCCTTGAAATTATCAACTAACAAATTTAGAGTAATATATTTACAAGGTTTGTTGCACAAATAATAAAACTATAACTACGTAGTATTTGGTTGACAAATATATTGGTAATTTTTATAATAAAACTATATCATTAAAAAATACATATTCTGATATCGAAAAAATTGAATATGAATGTGATAAAAAAAATTGACGTTTGTACAGTAAATGTCTCTATACAATAAAGTATACTAGTATTAGACTAAAATTTTTACATTAAGGGGAAAAATTATTTTTGAACAAATTAAAGCAAAAGGAATTTGTGCATATATGGTACCGGATAAGCCTTGTGTGTCACCTTTTACCGCAAAAAAAATGAGGTCCCATACAACTCCGTTATGAGGTTATATAGACATGTATACACACACACACACACACACACACATATATATATATATATATATATATATATATATGAATTTGTGCATATATGTTATCGGGTAAGCCTTTGTGATATTCATTTATATAGTGGAGGGTTCACTTTATAAATGACTAGTTATTGGGTGTTCACCTATACCATATGATTCTATAAGGGGTCACATGAGATTGCATCAAATTCTATCCTCTTAGAGTGTGTGACAAATTCTTCATCTTTTATATGTTGTGCACATATCAAAACTATATGGTAATTGTGAAGCTCTTTCAGTCTTTCCTACATAGGTAGTTTATTAGGTACGAATTTGATAATTATATTCCAAAAGCTCACTTACACGTCTTACACATTCTTCCTCGAGCTATATCAGTTGCACCAAATGAAAGTAGGAGTGAGAAAAATCCAATTTAGAATCTTCACTTTCGTAGTTATATATCTATTGTACCTATGCTATATATATTGTTCTTTTTTGTTTCACTGCAGTTTTAATGTATTGTTATTTTGAGAGTTTTAATAAAGGAGTGCTATAATTGTATTTTAATTTATGTGCATGATATAACTATATAAGCATTGTGCGCACACATAAAGATTTGAATTGGATATGGCATTATAACCGAAGTGTAGAATTTTGTATTTTGTACTATCATCAAGAAAGCAATTCTTATTGAGAAAGTATAATGAAAAGAGAGAATTACATAAAAATACATTTAAAAAAATTATGTATGAAAAGTAAGCATGTGACATTCATCGAGCCATTAAGGATGTGTACTAGGCCACTACCATTGCTTGATAGGGTGGGTGTCTTTTGGATTGTGTTATTATGGTGCCGTTTGGTAACACCCCTTTTCGGCTTATCAGGCTTATCAGCCAACTTTTCCACCAAACACGTAATTTTTACTTTAGCGTGCTGAATTGTGAAATAAGCAGAAAAAGTAAGGTTGGAGTTACTTTTCTGGCTGTATTGGCTGAAGTTACTGTAGATGACCATTTTAGCTATTTTTACATATAATTTTTTCTTTATTTTATTAATAAAATATATTTTAAAAATATTTTTTTCTTAAATCAGCAGAATCAGCTAATGCAGCCACTTCAGCCAGAACTTCAGAAATTTCAGCAGAATTAGCCAAACCAGCCGATTTTCCTTCTACCAAACGGGCTCTATATGTTTTGGAAGGTAATGATAATCAATGTTACTGTATTATACAACTTAACGTGAGATAATACAACTATACAAATAACAGTGGCTACTTGGTCACAACAATCGTCTCTATTTGTAAATTCTGTCACTAGCCAATTTTGAACACAAAAATTGCAGTTTCAAATCAAGTAATAGCTCTAGTTTTCCAGCCAAAACAACTTCTTGGATTTATAGCGTACGTTTAGGCATTACTAAGAAATACGGACTAAGAATAAAAAATTACCAACTTTATTAAGCAACACAGTTTGAAGAGATTGATAAGGATAGGCCAATGTAAATGTGGGACGAAGCTGGAATTTAACATTTGCTTATCTGCAGGGGATAAATATTTCCAATTTTTGATTTTTTGAAATATCAAATTTGAAATATTATCTATTGGATTTGAGAGTCTCCATTTCTTCAAATTAATGATCTTATAAGCTAATAACATTCACCCAGAATTCAATCGCAATATATAGTCTCCATTATCTACTGGCATTAGATATCCAATTAACACGATTCGTTTCCTGGAGCCATGTAGAATGTTTGTAATGAATCAAAATTACAAATTATACAGCCCAAACATGTTATAAGCTTAAATTCCAAAACCCCATTCCTCCTTTTTTGAGCTTACACAAAATTCGATTGTCTTCAGAAACTCAAAAACTTAAGGCTAGAACACGAATATCCAGAAAGAGAGGATTCCAAGCAAGGAGAATTCCTCAAATAGGATCAAAACTTGTCCATTTTCAAAAAAGAAAAAAAAAAGGTGCCCAGCATTCTCTTCTAAGCTATCTATCTGAAATGAATCATGGCGGACTTCTTGCGAAAAGAATGAATACGAATCTTATCTTCACCGTCTTCATCATCATCGGCTGCTCTGCGTTTCCTGGGATTCGAAGATACTTCAGGAGGAAGAAGAGATGGAAAATCACAAAGAGATATTGCAATTGGAGTGTTGACTATTAGGTGGGTTATGTCTCGGAGGGGCTTCCTCGTCAAATTCGTCCTCCCCTTCTTCTTCTTCTTCAATGATTTCTCTTTTGAAGGCATTGAATTGAGTATTTCTGCAGATCTTGGCGGGATGTTCTCCTTGTTATCAAGCTCAACAATGGCAGCTGAAACCTCCATGGCCGGTCAAAGATGAGTGGAATTGGAAATTTGAAAAGCAGAGTGATTTTCAATGCGGGGGTGTGAATCGACCATTTATATAGTTTACATATGGGAAAAGGATTTCGTATTTATTTTAGGCAAACAAAAACAAAAACAAAACAGATTTCGGAATTTGGTTCGAAAGTGTGATGAAAGAGCTCCGCTGGTTTTTTAAAATTTCAGAGGTTTCAATTTCAGCTTTGAGCGCTCAAATTAGTTTCTATGACAATTCCTTCTTTCTAGTCTTGGGCCTTTTGGCGGGTAACGAGAATAATAAAATGGGATGTAGTGGGAAATG